GTTGATTTCTAAATGGTTGGAAATGAGCTTTCCCGACTTCTGAAGTATCTTTTAGTGACTTTAAACGTTCTTCAAAATTCAAGGTTTTCCTCTCTTCAAAACGGTCAGGTAAATTTTCCCCATTGTTATTACACTAGATAGACCTTATGTGTGTATACATAGGCCTACACAAAAACTTGAGTAGTTGCATACGATTTTTTTTTCGAAAAATCGATCGATAAATCCCAAAAAGAAAGGGGGGTCCGGGGGTTCTCCCCCAGGAAAATTTGGATTCCTAGAAGGCGGGAAATGAGCTCTCCCGACTTCTGAGGTGTCTTCTAATTACTTTTAATTTCTTCAAAATTTAAGGTTTTCCCCTCTTGAAAATTATTATAATGAATCAATGAACCCAAAGAAAGGGAGGTTGGAGTTCTTCCCGGGAAAATGTTGATTTCTAAGTGGTGGGCAATGAGCTTTCCCGACTTTAAGTTCTTTAAAATTAATGGTAATAATTTTTTTCCCATTGTTGTTACAGTAAATAGGCCTTATGTGTGTATACAAACATAAAAAAATTTTGAGCAAGTTGCATACGTATTTTTTTTTCCATGAATCGATAAATCGCAAAAGGAAAGGGGGGGGGGTCCTGTGGTTCTTCCACGGGAAAATTTTGATTCCTAGGTGGCGGGAAATGAGCTTTCCCGACTTCTTAGGTGTCTTTTAATGACTTTTAATTTCTTCAAAATTCAAGGTGCCCCACCCCCCACCTCTTGAAAATGATTCAATTAATCAATGAACTCCAAAGAAAAGGTCCGTGTTTCCCGGGAAAATTTCGATTTCTAGATGGCGGGAAATGAGCTTTCCTGACTTCTGAAATGTATTTTAATGTATTTTAATTTCTTCAAAATTCAAGGTTTTCCCCTCTTGAGTCAGTCAGGTAAATTTTTCTCATTTTTTATTTTATGTGTGTATTCATACATAAACAAATGAGTAGTTACATGCGTATTCTTTTTGCCATGAATCGATAAATCCCAAAAAGAAAGAATGGTGCAGGGTTCTCCCCCATGAAAATTTTGATTCCTAGATGGCGGGAAATGGGCTTTCCCGACATTTGAAGTGTGTTTTAATGACTTTTATGTTGTTTGTAATGTAACAAAAAAAAAAAAAAAAAAAAAAAAAAAAAAAAAAAAAAAAAAATCAGCTCACGGGTCCTGAAAAGGTAGGTCTGGAATTCTTTTTCTTTTCCCCTTTTTTTTGTTGCCCAAGGGAGGGGTCAGGACCCATTGTCCCCTTCCCCATATATTGCGAGAAAATGTAACTCGGTCGGGTACTGGATAAACATTCTCTTTCCCATCCTTCTCCTTCTTCTTGCCTCCTTCTTTTCTTGCATTTCCGATCATACAAAAATCTCCGGACATTATATATTTTTTGCCAAAAAGTGGTTGGAGGGGGCCCAGGCCTCCCCCCCCCACCGGTTCCGCCGGCCATGAAATTTTAATATAATTCCACTTTTTCCCCATTTCCCCTACCCCCTTTCGGTGAGAAAAACCACAATTCGTCAGTGAGGAAAAAAAATGTATGTGTATATTTTACATATTAGTAGCCCCCAAAACTGATTAAATAAGCTGTCGAAACTCCTAAATTGTCATTTTCGGGGAACACTATTGAGAGATGGATGCCCAACCACGCCCACTTTTTTCGTAGGGGACATCGCTCGCCCCTCCTCCCGTACGGGGACCTTGCCATGGATCCCCCGTCTGACAAGTCCCCACCACTGCGTGTGCAATATGGCCGTATTCAATATGGCTCATGTGAACTACACTCTTCGGAAAAAGTAGAGTAGACGTATTGTCTCCCGGTGTACTGCTCAATCCACCACCCAGAAGGACCCCACAGGATAGTCTTCTTCAGACTTTCATAGGTTATCCTTGCTGTTTACACCGTAAAAAGCCATCCATCCATCCAATTAAAATTTAAACCCTTAAATTAAAAGTGAAGACATTAATTATTTTTTAACCGTTACATGCTTGAATTTTGTTTATGTAATTTGATACTTTTCAGGAAATTAAATATTGTAGTTAAACCACCCCTATCTTTCAAAGCAGATATGCGCCTTTCCTTGGTTATGACATTTAAACTCCATCGAGTCGGCACCTGACTCGGAATATTTCATAGTTACTGCTCAGGGGAGGGTGCATAAATTTGTGTTCAGGATGTGATCTGGCTTTTCATGCCCATTTTTCGTGATTATGACTATTTTGAATAAAGAATGTTTTGAGCAGTGGCGGATTCAAGGCTCCCACCTAATTTTTTTTTAATTTAAAAGAAGAAAGTTGTATTCAAATTTAAGTCTGAGAGTGTAATTTCCGGCCAGCTAGAGGCGTCCTAATCATAAATTTTCTTACCTCAGCCCCAACCATGTTGGTGTTGAGGTGGGTGGACCCTCAATCTGTGAAAGTCCCTCTCTGGGTCACCTCTCTTTCGAATTTCTGGATCCGCCACTTTTGAGTTATTATTATAATTATTGTTAGGTTTACTAATATAATTTATGATGCGTCTATTGCAATTTTCACTTTTTCCTCTCAAAACAGTCATTAAACGTTCAGAGTGCGCTACCTCCGAGGGGCCCCTCGATCCCACCGGGGTCCTTGGCATCCCCCAGCCGTAGGAAGGGGAACACCCCACCCCCGCTCGGGACTATACGTACCTCTCATAACGCCCCCCCCCCTCCTTTCAAAATTCTGGCTACGTCCCTGCTCATTAGGAGCTCTAGAAACACTCGGTTGATTAATAGTTGATTGATTAATAGATCTTTTTTAGATCTACCGCCTCTATTAATACTGCCTACATCGGAGCTTTCACAATTACGAGAACTTGTTTTAAAAACCATATTTATGCCTATATAGACGGCAGCCCTACCGCCGTATAAAAGGTCTCATTATTAGGCTTAAAGAGTAGAGATGTTTTTTTTTTTAGTCGCGAGAAAAAACTTTGCTGTCACATGATTTGAATCCATCACCCCAAGTTTAGAAAGTATTGGCGGTATTTTACCATACCATTATCATCAAGTTCAAGAATTTATAGACAGTCATAGAAATTTTTTTCCTATTGAAGCTGTCCACACTATCAAATGTTCTTTGACAAAAATTATAGAAAAATAAAAGATGTAAACGATTGATAAAGAAAAGATGAAAAACAATATGTTGCGTACGTTGTTGCATTGCTCTCCACAGCATTTTGTCAGGCGCAGTAAGTGCCCGACCTTGAAGTTTTAAATATTACAATTATTATTATTATTAGACATTATTGACATAATAATAATAAAAATAATAATACTAATAATAATAATAATAATAATAATAATAATAATAATAATAATAATAATAATACTAATAATAATAATACTATACTAATACTACTACTACTACTACTAATAATAATAATAATAATAATAATAATAATAATAACAATAATAATAATAATATTAATTAATAATGATTATTAATGCCTGACTCTGGGTGTGTTTTTTTGTGTTTTGTTTATCATTATTATTTTTTGTTGTTGTTTATTATTATTGTTATTTTGATTGTTATTATCATTATTAATAATAATATTATTATTATTTTTTTTTTCCAGGACCACGATAAAAAACATTTCTTTAAAATGATTGTGTCATCCTGGCTAAAGATATTAGTAAATAAATAAATAAATAAAAATAATAATAATAATAATAAATTGTTTAAATATATTACAAGGGTAAGTGGTAGGGAGAATGTTTATAGATGATTTGACATGAGGATATTAAAAATATAACCGAGATGTGGGGTGGGATGGCGCAGTTGAGATTTATAGATTTTTTGATATGAGAATATCATATTAAAAATAAAAGAAAGTTGGGGTGGGAGGGGGCAGCAGATATTTATAGATGTTTTTGACATGAGAATATTCTAGTAATCAAAACAAAGAAACCAGCATTGACAATTCTGTATATCATCTGTAACAAGACTTTTTGTTTGGACCTGAACAGGATTTCTATAGCTATAGCAATTGATCAAATATATAATAATGTTCCAATGGTATACAGTACAGTACATATAAAATACAATTGATTTACTCACTGCTAAGTTTATTAATTTCCTATTATATTTATCCTTTATTTGCTATTAAGAGTTTATCCTGACTTCTGCTTGTTAATGGACATTATAGAGGGCAGTGTTCAACTTTAGCCGACTGATGACTGTATTGACTATAAATCTTTGAGAAAAACAAATGTTATTCCCCATCAAGATTGAACCTTTCTGATTTCCTTTTGTTTGGCTACTATACCAATAGAGATATGACGCCAAGTTTTTTCCCATTAGGACACAATAGTATTTTTCTGAAGGTAATGCGTAAAATGCAAGAAATAATATAAAATGTTACTGTCAGATTTCTTATTGTATAGATGACTTATGGGAGTGTGCTGACGTGTATTGTGTATGTAATGTAAACAAAGTACAGAATGTCATAAAATACTCTATTTAAATCATAGCATAATGAATACTATCGTAACATTGAAAATTCCTAATGGCCCAAACATTGACAAAACGCTGGATTTATTCTTTCTAATATCACATTGTACTAAAGAGTCTAATGTGAAGGATCGGATGAGAAAGAACAATATGCTGACGTGTATTGTGTTGTATGTAATGTAAACAAAGTACAGAATGTCATAAAATACTCTATTTAAATCATCGCATAATGAATACTATCGTAACATTGAAAATTCCTAATGGCCCAAACATTGACAAAACGCTGGATTTATTCTTTATAATATCACATTGTACTAAAGAGTCTAATGTGAAGGATCGGATGAGAAAGAACATTGTCGGATAAATCATTTCTGTATTACTACCACACTTTCGGTAAAAATTTATATACGAAGAAAAACACATTTTACATCTGAGTAAAGTATCTGCAACTTTCCCTGTGTTAAGCAAGTCAAGGAAAAGTATGGAGGTACATAGAAACGACACAACTCGCATTGCACTGCAAGATCCCCTTGTGCTGGTCGTAGCTCGTTGGGTATTGGCTATTATTGGTATCGTCGCAAATTCCACTGTCATATTTGTGTTCATCTACAACAGGACTTTCAAGAAATCTCTATCGCTGAAATTACTTCTTCATCAGACTGTGATTGATTTGATTGGCTCTATGATGTTTTTGATCTTCTACAACATTGAGGTTCCTGATGGCACTAGTGGAACCATATTTTGTAAACTGCAGTTTCTCTTCTTCTACATGTCAGTAACATCGACTTACAATTTTGTTGTGCTTACAATTGAACGCTATATAGCTGTCGTCCATCCAATAACATATCATCAGAGGCTATTGGGTGGGAAAATTACATACCTGTCACTCTTTAGCCCTCATGTATGCGGTTTACTTTTATCAGGACTGATACCTGTAAATGCAGACGTAGAACCAGGCATGAAAGAGTGTAAAATTGAAGTGACCAACAAGGCTGCAACACTATTAGTTATTCCTCAGTCGCTGATACCTCTTTGTATTATGGTATACTGTTATGTGCGGATGCTTTTAAAATTACACAAAACACGAAGAGTTAACCACGAATTTCCGACTGAAAATCAACCTAGGTTCAGCAGTAGAACTCAAAGGATCAAGTCGGATCTGTTGGCTACCCTCTTATTAATTGCATTTATTCATATTTTTACAATATCTCCAAGCTGTGTTTTTTTTCTTTACTTCATAATAAGTCATGATTTTATTCATGTATTTCATGAGGTGAGTTTGTTGATGTTGGATTTAAATCTTACTATTAATCCATTTATTTACTCTATGGCATACAAAGATTTTCAAAGGGGACTTCGCAAGATCATACAAGACATACGCCAAGGAGAAACTCTAATTCAAGAATAAATGAAAACCAAAAGAAAGATTAGCTTTGATAAGAGATGAATAGAAAGAGAAAAGATGTAAACGGTTGATAAAGAAAAGATGAAAAACAATATGATGCGTACGGTGTGGCGTTGCGTTCTCCGCAGAATCGTGTCAGATGCAATGAGTTCCCGGCTTTTAGTCTTAAATATTACGATTATTATTATTATTATTATTATTATTATTAGACATTGTTGATATAATAATAATAACATTGTTTAACTATATTACAGGGGGAGGTTTGAGGTTAAACTAGAAGTTTGTAGATGATTTGACATGCGGATATTTTTAGTAATGACAACAAAGAAACCCAACATTAACATTCTGTATATCTGTAATGAGATTTTTTTTCTGGACCTGAACAGGATTTATATAGCTATAGCAAGTGATCAAATATATAATGGTGTTCCAATGATGTACCAAGTGTTTAGTTTAATCATTTCTTTTTATACTTACTTTTGGTATACTCTTGGTGTTGGGCTTTAAGCTATTGCTTATATACCCCTCTCTGCACTCCCTGCCATGCTCTCGTATAAGGGTTAAACTTCAGTGGGTGTGATATCCAGTGTTTCCTTAATTCTGTTTTGAATTTATTAATAGACGAAGCTTTTACAACTACTTCCGGTAACCTTGGTATTTAACCTTGATTGCTAATAATAGTTTGCTTGTTGATTGACATTATATAGGGCAGTATTCAATTTAGCCCTCTGATGATGATGATGATGATGATGATGATGATAATGATGATGATGATAATAATAATAATAAAGACTTTATTGAAACAGAAAACCTGATCAAAAATTAGATTGTGTTTTTCACAAGGTCATTTAAAAGTATTAACTTAAAGTATAAAAATTAAATTACAAAATCCAAGTAAAAAAACAAGACAAAATAAAAAAGAACTTTAAAGTAACTCTTTGAGAAAAACATGTTTTTCCTATCAAGATTGAACCCTTCTGATTTTCTTAAGGTTACTATACCAACTGAGGCCAAGTATTTTCACATTACTACACATTTTTCTAAAGGTAGTGCGTAAATTGAACTTTTAGCATTTTTTTAATTGTATAGATGACTTATGGGTCGTAGTGATGTGATTGTGACAACGAAACATCGAAGACTCAATTTGCTTCTAAAGTGCAACAGCTGGCACATCTGGTAGACTAACATTAAATTTGATATAGCAACAGAATGTGAATTTATTGACACATCTTTGTAATCTACAAACACGGATTCCCAGCAAAGGCATCAGTTTTGCTTTTATATTGGTTATCACATAAATCAATTGCCAATACCGAATAAATACTGCGGTCTAAAGCACAATTGGGCCAACCTAAGCCATAACATCTCTCATAATGAATCCCACCAAGGATTTTATTCCGGACACTGATGTTTTACTAAAATAGAACATCTATTATTGCGAATGCAAGTTTGTTGATATTGAGTTAGGTGATTATCGACTCTCCAAAATCAATGTATCAGGGCATTTAATAATCAATTTACAAACGTGATGGAAATTATTATTAGAAACTATACAAACTTACCTAATCGGTGACTTCAATATAACTTACTAGAACATGCCACTGAGGCTATTATCCAAGAACATTTAGACAGCATTTTTCGAACACCTTCCAAGTAGCCATGCCAAAATCACTGAACATAGTACTTCTTTGATAGACAATATTTATCGTAATATTGACACTCCTGAGATGTACTTCAAATGGTATTTTAGTTACTGATATCTCAAACAGCTTTCCTGGGTTTTTTTTACTTTATTTGTGTAGGAAACAAGTAAATGCTATATAAAAGAAACTGCAAGTACGTAACACTAAACGTGTACGTTTACCACTCAACAAATACTTTGTTCATGCGCTAAAAACGGCCAAGGAACTGATGTACTTGATGATAATTGTCCCAATTTTGCATACCAAGATTTTACTCGTATTTTAAATAAAACTATAAACAGATGTTTTACAACAGGCCTACATCAGATTCGTGTAAAGTCAAATGTTTCACGATCCCCCTGGATGAATTGCACGATCAATACTATAGAAAAATAAATTTTACGGTAAACTCGGAGCAATTCAGTCAAATTAAAATATGTCTAAATGCAGGCTCTATCAAAATAATTAAAAAATATTGTAACAACTGGTCTGGTCCCCTATGACACGAAAATCGAAAAAGAATGCAAACGAGAAGAAATAAGTAACTAAGACAAATTGCCTACCAATTTTTAATAAAAATAATTCCAGATGATGCTAAATTTCATATTAAAAAAATTATATAAATGTACTTATTTACAATCAAAAACTAATATTTATAAAGATTGAAAAGAAAAGGATAATAGAAAAATTTACGAAATTACATTTGGACTTACAAGTAATAAAATAATTGTTAATCAGAATTATAACACTACACACACACAATATCATTTGTTATATAAGACATCTAAAAAAAAGAGGAAAAATAGGATAATAAAAAAAATGCTAAATTGCTTATTACAAAACTTATATAAATGTACTTATTTACAATATAAAACTTATACTTTAAAAGATTAAAAAGAAAAGGATCAAAGAAAAATATGCGAAATTGCATTTGGACTTACAAGTAATAAAGTAATTGTTAATCTGAGTTATAACATTACACATACAAAATATCATTGTTATATAAGACATCTAAAATAAAAGAGGAAAAATAGAACAAAAATGCTAAGTTGCTTATTACAAAACTTATATAAATGTAATTATTTACAATCTAAAACTTCTATTTAAAAAGATTAAAAAGAAAAGGATAAAAGAAAAATGTGCGAAAATACATTTTTACAAGTAATAAAACAATTGTTAATCAGAATTATAACAAACATAGGCCTACAAAATATAATTGTTATATAAGACACCTAAAAAAGGAAAAAAGGTCATGAAATAAACATACCGTATTTATTCGAATAAACCCCCTACTCCCATCCCCATTGAATAAACTACCCCTTCAGACGGGCATCTTTTGGAACAAACAGCTTCATCGAATAAACGCCACCGGGGGGTATTTTCTCCGACTAAACGCCCTCTAAATGACTTTAAACTAATCTAATGAAAGAAACATCATTCCCAACAGATTCTATTAATGGTGTACTCAAGTAGAATTACATTTTTTCTAATCTTCGTTAGGATCTATACGTCTTTATTATGACGCAAAAACACATTTACAGTGAGATTAAGGGGCGGTTATTTGAGTATATACGTATTCAATATTACACACACACACACACACACCTACACATACACACACACACACACACACAAGTAAAACAAACGCCTTCCTCGAGTAAACGCCGTCCTCGAATAAATCATTCGAATAAATACGATATTGAAGCAACTAATTATTATTTGAATCGTAAGATTAATGAGCAAAATTGACTTGAAAGTGAATTAAAAATTAGGATTCTTATGGTATACATGAGGACTTCCAATACTTAAATTTGCCAGCATGCCCCAAGAAGGAGGCAATCGGTGTATATCTTAAATTTATTAAGACTTCTGCTGGCAGTCCGATGTCACAGGTGGAAAACTTCCGGGGAGGTAACCATGATAGATCCGGCCCATCACGCCACTCCCACCTCCCTCAATGACCATACAACTCCGAGATACGCTACTTCACCTCGACCTATTCAAAATATACTGTTGGCCCCGTCTTCTGATCTGAATTTATGTATTCTAGATCGTTAGTATTTTTGAATCCTATTTTCTTTTCTTATATTATGTGACTGACCATTTCCATTTATTTCTGCCACCCGTTTTGCGTTTCTGAAATCCCATTTCTGATTCTGTTCTGTCTTGTGGCTCTCACCAGATGTTCCCACCATCTGCTCATCAACTATAAAATGCAATGTCCAACGATCTGGTTACTGCTGCCTCATCGAATCATTAATTTGGATTGTGTCGATATTTAACTATTGTTCATTACAAACGAAGGAAGGAAAATAATTTTAGCCAAAAATCCGGGTTTTTGAACGTTAGTGTCACTGTGAAATTCCAGCCTTAGAACGCTTCCTTGTGACGTCATGTGAAATGGTGTTAAAAGAAGACCACAAAAAATGCTATATTCTTCTGAACTAACGTCGAAAATCTGTCATATAAATAGAAAACAACATTAATTGGCTGATACATAAATGTTATATTTTCATTTATATATCAAAACTAATTTGAATATAATAATATATATAAATCAAATTTGAAATGTTAACGGTATCATAATGAACTTTGTCTTAGTAGACCTATAATAGGTATACACCATACCTGTAAATAATCATATAAGCACAATCTATGATGTTCAAGATGAAATACGTAAAATTCAATATCAACCACGTGATCACGTGGTGCTTTTATGATGTAAGATTGGTCGGTATCCGTAGGATAGTCGTCTGGAAAGTTGGGAGATGTAAATCGCACAGGGTCTTCGAAAATTGTATTATCATCTGAAAAATCATATTGTTTAATTAAAAATTCTAGTTATACGTCATCACCATAATAATTGTAATAATATTTATGATCATTGTCATTGTAACCCATTTCGTCAACGTCATAGTCATCATCCTCGTCATTATCCTCATTATCATCGTCACCTTTATTTTTCATATCTTTCTTTACTGGATATCGCATTATACATCAATCATCATCGTCATCATCACCACCATCATACAGTCATATCATCAATGATTTATAATCAACCGTCATCTTCATCGTCATTATAAAAACATCATCATCATCAGCAGCAGCATCAGTCACTATCGTCACAGATTGACATTCATAGTCACCAAGTGAAAGCATAATATCTTGTTAGTACCTACCACTAAAATCATTGGAGTTTGTTTTGCCAAGGCAACTGATTCCAAAACATTTTACACTGGAAATTCGGTTCCTAGTTTTGTTGTGCACGATAAATGACCGTGTGTCGGCATATCTGTCTACACACTCTCCGTGTTCACACCACTGTATAGGAATTTATTACATCAACCAGAGTGTCAAGTGAAATAGTATTATATTCAGTTGTATCAGTGACACTAAGCTAATTATAAAATTATTAATTCATTGTTAATTAAAATCGGTCGGTGGAAATGCATATATACCGTTTGTAAAGAATTTAATGAGTTTTTACTGGGTTTTTTTATTTTTTTGCAATTTCACACCTCTAGTCTCATCTAGTGTTTAATTTTCCACCAATCAACAAGAAGCTTCACTTTCCAATTTTCGTGCTTGGATTCGCTGCAGATACTATTCTAGTCCCGTCCGAAATGTAGCAATATCAGAGGTTGCATTTTTTTTTGCTATATTTGGATATAATGTAGAGTAGACATTGATAAATCAAAAAAGTATGTGCAACATTTTTTTTTCATACGTAGTATTTTTGAATCCTATTTTCTTTTCTTATATTATGTGACTGACCATTTCCATTTATTTCTGCCACCCGTTTTGCGTTTCTGAAATCCCATTTCTGATTCTGTTCTGTCTTGTGGCTCTCACCAGATGTTCCCACCATCTGCTCATCAACTATAAAATGCAATGTCCAACGATCTGGTTACTGCTGCCTCATCGAATCATTAATTGGGATTGTGTCGATATTTAACTATTGTTCATTACAAACGAAGGAAGGAAAATAATTTTAGCCAAAAATCCGGGTTTTTGAACGTTAGTGTCACTGTGAAATTCCAGCCTTAGAACGCTTCCTTGTGACGTCATGTGAAATGGTGTTAAAAGAAGACCACAAAAAATGCTATATTCTTCTGAACTAACGTCGAAAATCTGTCATATAAATAGAAAACAACATTAATTGGCTGATACATAAATGTTATATTTTCATTTATATATCAAAAATAATTTGAATATAATAATATATATAAATCAAATTTGAAATGTTAACGGTATAGTAGGCCTATAATAGGTATATACCATACCTGTAAATAATCATATAAGCACAAGCTGTGTTGTTCAAGATGAAATACGTAAAATTCAATATCAACCACGTGATCACGTGGTGCTTTTATGATGTAAGATTGGTCGGTATCCTTAGGATAGTCGTCTGGAAAGTTGGGAGATTTAAATCGCACGGGGTCTTCGAAAATGGTATTATCATCTGAAAAATCATATTGTTTAATTAAAAACTCTAGTTATACGTCATCACCATATTAATTGTAATAATATTTATGATCATTGTTGTTGTAACCCATTTCGTCAACGTCATAGTCATCATCCTCGTCATTATCCTCATTATTATCGTCACCTTTATTTTTCATATCTTTATTTACTGGATATCGCATTATACATCAATCATCATCGTCATGATCACCACCATCTTACAGTCATATCATCACTGAACTTTTCTCATACAAATTAAAAAAATACCTTCTTTCAAATTATAATTAATGTAATACTTAGTCAGTCGTGTTTCTTCTTTTTTTTTTATTGATTTATTTTTTACATCAATTAATTGTGCTTCCTCTATGTTTATATGTCTTTTTAGTTCTTCTTAATTATATATTTACTTATTCCTTACTATAATATATTATCTGGCTAGCCCATTACAAGTTTTAATTGTAATTTGTTTCCAATTAATTTTACTTACAGGGCACATGCCTCTTTCAATTTAAATTATATTTACTAAAATAGTGTATATACATATAATACCTTAGATATTTGTTAAAAATTATATATTTTTTATTGTTATATTGTAAAAGAAATAAATGTTGATTTGATTTGATTTGATTTATAATCAACCGTCATCTTCATCATCATTATAAAAACATCATCATCAGCATCAGCAGCATCAGTCACTATCGTCACAGATTGACATTCATCGTCACCAAGTGAAAGCATAAAATCTTGTTAGTACCTACCACTAAAATCATTGGAGTTTGTCTTGCCAAGGCAACTGATTCCAAAACATTTTACCGTGGAAATTCGGTTCCTAGTTTTGTTGTGCACGATAAATGACCGTGTGTCGGCATATCTGTCTACACACTCTCCGTGTTCACACCACTGTATAGGAATTTATTATATCAACCAGAGTGTCAAGTGAAATAGTATTATATTCAGTTGTATCAGTGATACTAAGCTAATTATAAAAGTATTAATTCATTATTAATTAAAATCGGTCGGTGGAAATGCATATATACCGTCTGTAAAGAATTTAATGGGTTTTTACTGGGTGTTTTATTTTTTTTTTTTTTTGCAATTTCACACCTCTAGTCTCATCTAGTGTTTAATTTTCCACCAATCAACAAGAAGCTTTACTTTCCAATTTTCGTGCTTGGATTCGCTGCAGATACTATTCTAGTTTTTTGCTATATTTTTTAAAAATTGGATATGATGTAGAGTAGACATTAACAAATCACAAAAGTATGTGCAACATTTTTTTTTCATAACAAAG